GACCGGCTGACTTAAAAATGTCCAGCCCCTCCAGCAGCTCCCTAACTAGATCCTCACTTACCCTGGGCTCAGGTGTGCCTCCCTCGGGGCCCGATGGGGGCCTAGCAGGGAGGTGGCAGTTCTGGTCCTTACTGAGGAAGACAGAGGCAAAGAAATCATTAAATATGTTGGCTTTGTCGTCTGGTGTGACAACCAGATTCCCTGTCACGTCCTGCAAGGGCCCCACATTACCCAGGGCCTTCTTTTTACTCCCTATGTATTTAAAAAAGGACTTCCTGTTGTCCTTAATCCAGGAAGTTAGTCCCAGTTCCATCTCTGCCTTGGCCTTCCTAACTACCCCCGTACACCCCCGAGCAACTGCCGAATAGTCCTCCTTGGTGATGACCCCAATGAATGGGGGGGCGTCAACCTAACCATGGGCCAAGAGCCAGCCAATCCTGAAGACTCCAAACCTCTCCTGCCAACCCTCCCCAGACTTGGGTACTCTAATTTGTTTGGCTCCATGATAGCCAGAGGAGAGGGGCAAGCACCATCCTTTTGAGAACAGGCATGGGCAAGCATACACCTCTGAGCATTATTTTATAACCAGCAAGCCCTTGCTAAGCAGCCAGGATCCAGTGACTTGTTCAGCTGCTGCTAATTCTGTGTTTCTCCATAAGACAGAGGACTGAAGAACACAGCACTGATAGGCTGAAGACCATCCCACCCTCCTCAGCAGCCTAGAATCCTACAACCTTACCCAGTCCCTGAAGACACTCTGCCATACTGAGCTTTCCAGGAGGTCAGTGTCCTGGCCATGTTCTCCCTTGCTTGAACTCTTGGATAACCAGACAGATGTGCCTGCCCACAGGGAGGGGTGTGAAGCAGCCATCCTGAGCAGCATTAGAATCATTCAGTCCACAGGAAACTCCCCCTACCCCCACAGGGTGCAATTTCTTCCCTGGAAACCACAGCACGCCAGGAAGCAGCACTATGGCATGGGTCCAGGGCCCCAGCAAAGCAGCTGAGGATTCCCACTCCCTCTCCCACCATCCCCTGTCAGTGTCCATCTCTAGAGACCAGAAAAACAGAGCTGGATTCCTGTGCCCCTGGAATGGACTCTAAGTGTACTCCTGCCAATTGTTTGATGTAGTGTTATTTCCAGAGCCCCTGCCAAGCCCGCGTCGGGCCTAGAGCAGGCCCGTAACTCTATAGGGCCAAGTCTGCAGCCTCCTAGGCTAATCTAGGGCTGTACCTCCTAAAACCACGGCCCTTGTTTTCCTGTTTCTCTCTCCTAATGTATCTGGCAAGGAGCAAACCACTGGCTGAGTTGGGGTTTTACAGGGGCGGTTTGTGGAGAAAGTGCAGTGTTCTGAGCCAGCACCCAAACCAAACCGCTCCTCCCTGGCGCGTGGGCTGAAGCCAGAGCAAAGCAAGCATCGCTCTGGATGCTGTAAGACACTTTCCTCCCCAGGGGCCTTTGACAAAGACCTCCAAACTCTAGGGGACCTGAAGTATTGCCTTGTGCCTCCACAGCTGTTGAGAGCTGCCCCTCTGTTCTGGATCCTCCTAGATTGCACAGGCCCTGGAGAGAAAGCTCAACTTTGTTTATTGAGAAGTCACAGACTGTCACTCTGTATTCTTTCATGGAAACAGTCTTCTCCGGCAGCAGCACTTACCTGGTCGAGGAGGGCATGAGATGCATCTGTTCACTCCCCAAAAGAGCCCTATGCTGCCACAGCAATCCTCAAACTTGGTCAAACCCAGCAGTGGGTTAGCACACTAAGGAGGGAAGGGGAGAAGAGAAGTCAGGTGTCTCAGGGAGAGGCACTAAGCCATACAGTCTTTCCAGCTGCTGTCTGCCTCTTGAGCATAGCAGAACCCAAGCCAGGGAAGTGTGACAGGACGATAAGGGGAATATAGTCACACTCCACTGTGAAGGTGGGAAGCAGAGTCAGCACAGGGGATGCCTGCCTTCTACTAGACACTAATACAGCCTTCACCACAAACCTCCCTGCAGGGACAGACCAGGGCCAGGGATATAGTTTAAGACAGTAAACAGTCTCACAGACAGACAAATATGAGCCTCCCCGTGACTGTGCCCTCTGGAGGAGATGGAGGCACTACGCAGAACAGAGGGTAGGCCAGACATGATATTTCTCAGCAAAGCCCTGGATAAGGCAAGTGCTTGTTCTTAGCCATACACTGATTAACCAGTGAGATGGGTGCACAGCCTCAGCCCTTGGGGGGGGTCTTGTGGTCAGGCGCCTTTGTTTACTTTATGAGTCTCTCTTTCCCCTAGCAAGGCCCTCTGGATTACAGGCTTCCCCATTAGAGCTGAGCTGTCGCAGTCCACAGGCCAAATCTGGCCCTCATCCATGTGAAAGATGGCCCCATGCCCAGTGCTCACATTCCAATCAACTCAGCTTTAGACTGCGATGGAAGAGACAAACACTTCCTGCCTGGGCTCCTTGCCGTCACCCAGTCTACTCAGTCACAGCCCTGGCTTTAGTTAAACAAAGTATGAGCACAGCAAGGGCAGCCCTTTTGCCCATCACAGAGCTCCCCCACGCAGGTGTATGGGGTCCAAGAGTGAACAAAGGTCTCTTTAAATTGGCCTTTAAACTGACCACTTGCAGGACATACTTACTGGGGCTGAGGTCGGCTTTATGGAACTCTCAGCTTTATGGAACGCACAGCTCAATGGGGCTTTTCCAGCCCTTTGTTCACATGTAAAATGTTTGGAGCCTGATCTCATTTATTTTTGCTTTAGGAAATTGTTAAGAATTAATCCAGCTGAAAACGTCTTGGATGGAAACTAGTAAATGATGGGAAAGAAACCAGCAGGCAAGCAGCATGAGAGCTGAACATACTCTGAGAGGGAGAGAGGGAAACAGCCTGAGCTACCAGCCTGTAGCAATCATCCACGGGATTCACAGGTGTTCAGCTGGGCCCCAGGGACCTTCAGTACTTTTCCACTGATGCAACAGAATCACAGAAACTCATGGAATAAGGCAGAATAGAAAGTACAATAAATGGAGAGCAGAGGCTAGAGAGCTCATTGCATGCTTCTGGTTCCTAAGTTCTAAGCAACCTGCACAGGAAGGCAACATTCCATGAAAATTAGACTCTTGTTTGCTACATGAGAGGGAGAGGAATTTTCCTATGCTTTATACATTTTTTACAAGAACCAGAGCAGATCCAGAAATGTTCCTATAAATAGGGCTATTTTAAGGAGCCAATGTACGAAGGATACCAGGGCTGAGCTATGCAGTCATAGGGCACGGCATGGTCAGGGCAGCCACTCTGCACAACACTGACAAGCAGGGACAAAGGGCTGTTTCTCTCCTGGTGGGTCATACCCATGCAACACATCACTGCAAAGGCATCTGGATGCTGCCCATGGGTCACTTTAACCAGCCTGCCATCCACATAGGTACTGTACATGTTCTGCTCACATCACATGCATGCACTACCCTATACAGGTATGCCTGCACACACCATACATGCATATGCTGCTCAACACATGCCTGTGCTTCAAAGCAGGACACATACAGTTCTTACCTGTCCATTTATGGCCTCTTGAAAACACCTTCCCATAATCTCTTGGGGCCCCTGCTGCTGGCCACTCTCTGTGGTGATGCTGTTGCCATTGCTGTAGCTGTATTGTGTCCCAGTTGGTAGCTGAGACATCGGTACAGCCTCAACACTGTTCCCTTCCGATTGTTTGGAGTCGCTCTGCACTCTGGCCACCTGGTGGATCTGCACAGTGGCCTCTGGAGGGTGGTTGATGTGGACATTCACCAGGGAGGGGTTTAGAGAAGCTGGAAGATGAGTTTAGACCAACCTTGTAACAACTGGGCTACGCTTGCCCCCTCACCTGCTTGGCATCAAAATAGCTTCTTGCCTGCCAAAAGGTAACAATGGAGGGGATACAGACCTCTCTGGGATGCCCACACTGGGTAATCCAGAAGGAGGCCATGTCTTGGAGGAAAGCCTTTGCCTGCTCTCCTAGCCAGACAACCTCCATGGGCCTTTTTCAGTGACCTAAAACCAACCCCTCAAGACTCCCCAGGGCACTACTTCAGCTCATTATGCTGTATTACTGAACAGCTGTGGTGAGGGAGGTTTGATGCACAATTGAAAGAAGCTAGAGTTTCCATGGCAGCATTCGCAAACTCCTTTCAGGACTTAGACTGCTCAGCACAGAGGGTCAAAATCTACCTATTGGGCACAGGGCCAGCTCCTACTGACTTCAGCCATGGGTGCTTTCCAAAAAGAGAGAGGTCATACAGACCTTGGTGCCCCTCTGTAGCCAAGGCCTTGCCCACTCAGGCTCTTGACCCTCTGTACCCTCATGCAGTCTTACTTGTCCCTATGGGCTCTCACAAGTTCCCACATGCACCTGTGTGTGCCTGCACCCTATCCTGCTACCACTCACTGCCAGCCCTGCTCCAGGAGCCCTGCTTCTAATTACTCACTGGTCTGGAAAGGAAACCATGAGACACTGGAATACATGGATACCTGCTTCTGTTGCTGGCTTCAGAGGGGACTTGAAGCATGTGCTCATTTACTGGAGTGTGGAGAGAGTAGAAATGTTTAGCCACAAGGTGGGGAGATTGTGGGCATCCTGGAAGAGGGAGCTGATACCAGGATGGAGTGGCACTCACCAAGCTGGTTGGATAGAGGTAGTGTATAGGTGGAATGCTTCATGGAGCCATTGGCTGGGGTATTTGGGACTCTCCCCATTTGTTTTTTTTCCAGTTTTGGAGCTGACAGGTGGCAAAACTTTCCTGTGGAGTTAGATGGGCACCAGCACTCATCTCTGCCCACACAGCGCCCTCCATTCAGGCAAGGGATCTGGCAGAAGTCTGCAAGGCAAGAAGAAGTCTGCTTAACAGAGGTCTTACTTACTCCCTCTAGCCAGTGAATGGTCCCAGGTGCTTTGACTGGTCAGCCTGGCAGCCTTCCCTTTAATACTCAGCAGAGAGCCAGGACCCATCATTTTTTGTAAGCCGCCTTGGGATCTCTACTAAGAGTCTCTAACCATCAGGTAAGAAAGGAAGCCACCCACCATGTCCTAAATGCAGCATGCAGCAAGTGCCTTCAGTCAGAGGCTGAAGCAGATCAGTGCCCATTTGGGCTTAGAGCAGGGACAGGCAATTATTTCGGGTGGAGGGCTGCTTACTGAGTTTTGGCAAGCCATTGAGGGCCGCATGACAGGCAGCCAGGAGCAGATAAATATTAATTTTCTTAATTCTGGGAGGGCCTCGTGGGCCAAATAGAATGGCCTGGTGGGCTACATCCAGCCCCCGGATCACATTTTGCCCACCCCTGGCTTAGAGACTCATATACCCAGCTGAGCAGCCCACAGACTCAGGATGGTATTGCAGGCACCAGCAGGATCCCTCAGAGGGGTGGGAGCTAATATAGCATTACATGGAAGAGTCAGCTTAATCCTTGCCCTCAGCTTCAGACCTTGCAAGAAACCCCATTTGAGTGGGATCACTATTCATAACAAGGCAAAGGGAGGTTAGTGGGTGGAGGAGGGAGACAGAAGGCAAAGGTCTCTGGGTCTGAAACCTCTCTCTGTGCCTGTCCCATGTTGGTCAGCAGCTGATGCTGTGAAAGAATGAGATGAAGCACAGGAGTCAGAAAAACAGGAGCAATCTATCTGCACAGGCTTAATGAAGCATCCATATCTGAAACCACAAGTTGTCCCTTTCAAGCCTTGTCCCAATGACAGTGAGGCTTTGCAGGAAGCAGAGTTTCCTAACAAGTCTGTCTTTCTGCAGCATTCAGTGAGACACTACTGCTTCAGGCCCTCGACTGTCTGTTAGGTACAGGCTAGGAGATGGGTACCCATCATGATCAAAGGCCTTTGCTTAGAGATTACTCATCCACTTGGCTCAGTCCTCAACTCAGCCAGAGTTTCACTCCAAGCTGCCCTGGTTTTGTGGGGCATGCGCTTGTCTTATCTCCCTCAAAGTCACAGAAACTGGCACTGAAATGGTTCCTTTTTGGGTCCCTCTAGTCCAGTGATTCTCAACCAGGGAGCCAGGCAATGTTAGCATTGCTAGGTGTGCAAACATGATTCACACAATAAACTCAGAGATTTCAGGTAGGAATCGATAGTGTTCAAAACATTCTGTCCTGTTGTGATCTTTCTGAGTTCTTTGCAATAGAAAAATTAATCTATTATTTTTCTGTAGTCAAAAAGAGTGAAAACTAAGAGCTAGAACTGTCTACGGTGTGCTTTGCATCTAGTGAAGTTGGGAACCACTGTGCTGGTCCATCTCTACCTCAATGGGATTGTTTTCCACAGCCAGCTTCCTGGCATGAAGGGCAGATGACCAGCCCTGCCCAACTCACCATATGGCAAAGGAAATCCCTGGGCAGACCCATTATCTGTGAAACAAGAGGAAAGTTTTCAGCAGTTCAGTCCATTGGAACAATTCACAACTTGCAGCCAGCTCTCCTGGCTGCCATGTGAGTGAAAGGAGAGAACAAGAGGAAATTAGGTGATGAAAGTCAGCCCCAAGCCTGGATGCCAAGGAAAGCAGCAAGCTGGCTCTGACCGGGAGTGGGGCTGTGAACTCTGTCTGTTGCTGTGACTGAAACCCACGTCCTCTTCTGATATGTGCCTCCAGAGAAAGTGAAGGTGTAGCCCCTGACAGGGAGAGAGATATGTTTTTCTAGGCAGAGAAAAAGGCTGCTTTCCTGAGCTCTGAGTCTGTAGAGGCTTCCCTCTTTGAGAGAGAGAGAGAGAGGGACAGAAAAAGGGGAATCCAGGAAAAAAGATGGCTGGAGGCTCAGGGATACTCACAGATGCGGAAGCCAGACTTGGGGTCATGGTCATGTCCCCCTTGGCTGTACAGGGTGGTGGTGTGCCCTTTCTCACAACTATTGTAGCAGCGGCCACTCTGGCAAGTCTGTTTGCAGATCGTGGGAGTGAAGACAATCTTGATCTTCCGGATCTTCTCCGTCAAGTTGGCTCCTGTGAGAGAAAAGGACAGTGAAAGGGGGAAGCAGTATTGCCAAGCCATAGGGATGTGTGTAGCCCTCACTGCAGAACACCTACATGGTAGGCAGGTACCAGGGCAGCTGTAGCCAAGCACCCTCTCCAGCTGGGCTACTGCTTTGGTATCACTGCAGCAAGGGAGCCTCTTTCAGACTCTAATGGAGTCTGCCTGCCCTTTGTTCCTAATATCAAGCTCAGACTGTTCCTCTGATTCTGGACACTGCTTTGTGTCCTGTCAGCACTAACTAGGGCTTTTCTACATGGGGACATTTACCAGCAAGATTCTCTCTCTAGTTTTGCCAGGATGACTCTCCAGGGAAATGCTCTATAAAAGTGCATTTTTCTGGATTACCCAATTCCACTTCCAAAGCGACACATGCTAATCTGGAAAAGGTGTCTGCATGGGACATCATACCAGCAAAACCAGAGGTAGAATTATACTGGTATCATTGAGCTGTGACAGACAAGCTCTGGCACATATCCTGATTTCTAGGTATTTACCTGGACATTTCCCTAACGTTTCCAAATTAGCCAAAAGAGGTGGGTCACTGGACTTCAGGCATCAAGCAGAGCTTTCCCATAATCCTGAGCTAGCTGGCTATGTACTACCAGGGACATTAGAAAGCCTCAAGAAGCAAGCCCTGATCATGCACAGTTTATGAGTTAAATAACTGCAAAAGACATTTTGAGTGTGTTTTTATCTATCATTTACTGCATCTGAGCCACACAGCGCTTGCTCCACAAGCACCATCTTCTAAACTGGAAGTAGTGCAGATGCATCAGCGCAGTAGTCCCTCATGCAGTAACTGAGTGGTATAAACATCTCCTTTATATCTTCTCAAGCCAGAGCCCATAAGATCAGGGCTTTTTCTTGGAAATCTCATGTAGTGTGTATTGAGCAACTTTCCCTTACTTTTTTGCACCTTACAAGGTGTCAGTGGTTATACACTCAGAGCCAATCATATGTCAGGGAACTGCATCATTCCTACCCTTTGATTGGGTAAGGCAATTCTCTTCCAGTATAAAGACTTCAGTATAATTGGCTGAAGCAATTCTCTTTCAGTATAATTTCCCTGGGAAAATTGTGCTCACAACGCTCCTCTCCTTCCCACCTTATATTTCACCCTCACAAAATGGGGCTGCTTCTCCAAATCATAAATGGTCTTCCCCAGTTTCCCACTCTCCTGCCTGCCCAGTGGCCTTGTGCAGGGAAAGCAAAGTCCTTTTGCTGAATTCTCTTGCACTCGCTGCTTTCCAGCAGGCTCTTTCCCCTCACCCCAACTCCATGCATCTCTCCACATTGCTTGTTTCCTTTCCCCAAGGCTCACCTTTGCACTTTGAGAACTGAATCCCAAAGCATGTAGCCTACAGCCCTCTCCAGGGTATCAGGCAGATGGCCTCAGCCTCTGTGTGCTTGCTATCCCTCATCATAAATGCAGTCAGTGTTATGCCTTCCTGAGGAGATTCCACAGAGAAGAGCCCTCAGAGATACTGGTCGCCCAGGAGGTCTTACCCCATGGAGGTATTGCATGCTCTTGAGAGGCTGCATGCAGTCCAGAGTTTCTCTGTGCATGTCCATTCCCACTGGGCAGAACATTGGATGTTAGCTGAGTGTTGACAACCGGGTAGCGCCGGACAGTGCGTGAAGACCCCGTGTGCTGGGAGGAGACAGGGGAACCCATTCTGTCCCGAGTCCTGTGGAAGAGAAAGCCAAGCTAACATCCATTACAGGTGATTGTAGTGTACTGGAGGTACCTACAGCACCTCCACACCCTATGCATCATGTGCTAACTCATACTCCTCTGCCCCTGCTATGCCATGTTTTAGCAAAAGCTCAATCTGTAGGACTGCCCTGAGCTTCATTCATTTCAGACTCCTTCTGGTCTTCCTGTTTCACTGCAGTACTCCCTCCAAGGGCCTCTCCTAATGCCATTCAGGACACATTTTCCACAGGGCTTTCTAGCACACAACTGTCTGCCCTCACAACTACCACCGCAACGTGCCAGTACCCCCAGATAATAAAGTGTTCGGCAAGGTCATTAAATGAAGGTATGGATACCAACAGGCAGGCTGCACCCACCTCCCTAGAAAACAACATAATTCAAGCACCAATCCCAATGCCAGTAGCAGCACAGCTGTCTTCAGCTGTCCCCACTTTATGCATGGACTACAGCCCACAGCACTCAATGTAAGAGAAATCTCTCTGATGAGTGCACATAGTTGCTGAAAGGTGCAGGAGAGCTGCAGCATCCCTGCACCCCCTAGGCCAGAGATAGCACAGACCCAGGGGATGGATAAGATACAGTGATAAGAGGGAAGCTGTAATAAGGTTGAGGCTGCAACTTGACTCACCCTGATGTGCTGTAGGTGTCACAAGAGAACACCAAAACCCTCTGTCCCCACAGTCAGACAAGCTGTCAAAGCACCCAAGCACCAGGCAGTGACACCAAGTCTGCTGTCTATGTGGTCACACTCAAGTCTATCCCCCGGTTGCAATGCCAGAACACAATGCACCTAGAGATGATGCTGGAACCATTCCCATGCCCCAGTGTGGGAAGTTTCATGCAGCAAGGGAACAAACACACTCTGAATAACCAAGAAAAAACAGTTTGGAACTGCTCAAAGACAGACAACAACCTCTTCACCACTGCCTGGAACACCAGCTCTGCCGCCCATCCTTCTGCACATCTCTCAATTCAACTTCTGGCAGGAATAGGAGACTGCAGGCTACCTCATCCAAATGAGCACCTTCCCCAATTCTTCTCACTGTCCTACAGGCTCTGGACACAGGTTCTCCAGACAAACCTAAGACCTGTGCACTGAAGTGCCCAAGCAGAGGAAGACATAGGCAGCACTGACTGCTCTCCCACAGCATATAACAAGAACCCCCACCTCAGTCACCACAGGGAGCAGATTCAGTCCTGTTGGCCAATCTGCTTGGTACAGTCACTTCATCTCACACTTAGGGTTCAATATCTTTTAAACTGTCACACCTGTGGTAAGACACCAGGTGCCTATTCCTCCAAAAAGGCAGAAACAGCACCAGGTTACAGCTGATGTTCTAGCTGGCATCCATTTCAAATTAATCTGATAATGAAAATAATAGCTATGCTATCCAGCTGCTGAAATCTGCTAGGAAGTTGAAAGCTGCCTTCAGATCTAGTCAGGCTGTTCCTTAGGCCGGTCTAATCTCTTCACTCTTTCAGACAAATGCGGGACAGCTTTTCAATAAGGAAACAAAGCTGGAGCTAACATACATGCACCTCTGCCCTGGGTGTAGTGACAGGTGTGGAGGTGTCCTAGCGCTGTCTTCAGCCTATTCCCAGCAGCAGGGCTGCTTATACACAGGGTATCTGGGCAGCTCAATCAAGTCATGCCTTTCTCTCAGTTGTCTTTTTCGTTACACATCCTATCTGAGATTGTTGATGACAAGTATTTACAGAATTTGCAGGTTCGTTAAATATGGCAGGGAGCGCTTCTGCCACGGCTGTTATGGCAGTTGGAACTTTCAGAAGTGATTTATGAAGTTGAAATCATTCTCTGAGCTTCGATGCTGCCCTAGGGAGTGCTGGGGTCAGGAAGTGCACTGGCTCTCTCTAACTCACCCTTCCTTTAAGTGGTTTTTTGCATGTTTATCTCACTGTGGGAGCTTCCTCGGAGGCATGTGTTCTCAATTTCACGTTGGGCATTGGCAATGACCAGAGATGCAACAGAAATAGGAGCCAAGCCAAGAAAACAAACAAACCAACTATGGCCCATGAGTGTCATAAATGAAGCAAACATGACAAAGGGACTCAGTCCCACAATATTTTTCAGTCATTTCATTTATGGGTTTTGGCATTTTACAGGAGCCAAGCAGGAGAATGTGAAGTCACATCCTGCTCCCAAGGCCAAGCTGGTAGCATCCACTCTGCTCTCCCAGAGCAGAGTTCTCTGTATTAACCCAACTACTTGCCTTATGTCTTTGGCTGCTCCCTTCACAGTCCCATGCTGCTATACTAGTTTCCACCCCCCCTTCACTGACCAGCAGCACTGGGCTTCCAGGGGTGTTTCATCTTTTTCAACAGATGCCTCTAGTCACTCTATATTCTACAGCAGGGGTATTAAACACACAGCCCCATCATCTGGCCCCAGTGCTGGCCCTGGGTCTGAATTGACCCAGCCTAGCCCCATGGACAGGGCCAGGACACGCACTGCACATCTGACCACTATGGGAACTGTGCTGCACACAATGCCTGATCCAGCCAGTCCAGGACCAGCCCTGCACATGGCAGGCATCACGTGTGATACGGTCCCAGACCAGCTGCCAGGGGCACACTGCAGCACAGCCTGGCAGAGGTGAGCAGCATGTGTAGCTGGGATCAACACTACATGAGACACCTGCCTGAGCTGGACTACACTACCTGCAGCACCTGCCCCAGCCACTCAGGACATGTGCTGCATTAAGGGACAGATCTTGCAGCAGGTGCCAAAAGTACTAGTTCCAGCATGGAGTAGGGAAGGGTTTGTTGCTCAAGCTGGCCCTTGGACTAACCCTGTGTCATTCATTCAGCCTGCTGGGTAGATGAGTTTGACACCCCTGCTCTACATCCCAAACAAGATACTAGTTAAGGTGAGGATTTTCAAAGAAATGTAAAGGGTATCAGACAGTGGTATAACCAGGGTGGGGCAAAAAGGGGGTGAGATAGGACCCTGAGCCGGTTAATGCCATGAGAATACAAACTCCCTGTGAGGGGAGATACTCAATTACAGGACAGCTAAATTTAGGGATGAAAAACCCCAACTTTAATAATTAGGGAAAATACTACAATGGAACTGGGGAAGACAGAATATAATCTAGAGGTTTAACACGCAATATCTCCTAATGCTTTTCATCTCACCTCTGGCAGCCAGGACTTACTTCACAGTCCACAGGTGGTTTCAGTGGCAGGCAGGAATCGGCAACCTCTGCAACCAGGGTTAGAATTACACTCCGACTCCTGGGGGCGGTCTGCAGTGGTGACAGCTGGAAGCCGGAAGAAGCCACCGCTGCAGCCACAGCTGCCGCCAGTGCCTGACTGCTTAGAAAGGCATGGGGAGGACTAGGGGCTCTCATCTCTTGGTGGGGGGCTCTTGTCTCTTATGGGGGAGCTTGAAGGGGGCTCTTATCTCTTATGCTTCTGCTTCCCCTAGCAAGATGCCTCTGCCCCACAGCTCCAGCCTTTTCAGTTGCTGTCACCACATGGCAGACTTTCTTAGTCTACATCTCTGGGGCTTTGCACCAGCAGGTTTCCATGGACTCCAGCAGCCTGGCAGTCACTTACCATCCAGAGGGCAGAGAGCAATTAGCCCAGCTACAGCCAGCCCCTTTGCAATCCAACAATTAACCCTTTCCCTGCCAGAACAAAACCCATCTAAAGAAACCCTTTCAAAATATAACATCCAAGCAAACAATGGACCCACATAATTGTCACAGGGGGTAACTGCCCCAAGTACCAACTTGGGGTGGGGGGGAATGAAAAAAAGAAGAAGTAACTGCTCCCCTGTGCCCTGGGTGCTGCTCAGCAGTGTCCCTATGCTACTGGTGTTAGATGCCAAGATTCCAACAGCTAATTCTTTTAGGCTCCCTTAAAAAACCCAACCTGAGAGCCCTTTGCAACTAAGCCTAGCCAGCCCTCAAGCCCTATGCCCACCCTGACTCCATTCAGATCCTCACCTTTCCAATTAAAGCTGCTCTGGGTCAAAAGGGATATGTCTGCCCACTTAAGTACCCCCTGGGGTTTGGCCCCCCCAATTAATGGTCATTACAATCCATCCAGAATCTTTATAAAACACAGTTTATTAAACGAGGGGTGCTCAGACTTTGCCATAACTGGGACCTTGCCTCTCCTTCCATTTGTTGTCACCTGGTCTATAGCATAGTATCATAGTGCTTAAGGTCAGAAGGGACATAAGCAGATCATCAGGTCCGACCCCCTGCCCTGGGCAGGAACAGGTGCCGGGGTCATATTACCCCAGCCAAATAATCTCTCTCTCTCTCTCTCTCTCTCTCTCTCTCTCTCTCCGGGGTGCCTCAGCACAGGGCCTCCACAGCACATAGAGCTGAGGGAGCAGGCAGCCTTCTCTGTGTTTGTCCCAGCGCATGCCTCTTTGGCATAATTTGTGCCACTTTTTTTCAGGGTTTTTTGTTTTTGCTACTGGGAAATCCCAGAAATTTTGCTCCAGTTATGCAAATTAGCAGCACTGTACACAGATTAATGAGGTTTGTGGTGCCACAAACTGCATGTGCCTGCACATCTGGATCTAGCCTGTGAGTCTAGGCAGAAGCACAGTCAAGCAGAAGTAAAAGTTGAGTCTAAGGACTCTTTAACAGGTTTTCCTTGCTCTGCTCCCTTCTTTATACATCCTGCTGGTGTCAACAGCAGGATGAAGGAGCCAGGCCCTGCTCCATAATAAGTAGTTGGGGCTCTGAGCCTGAGCTCAAGTAGCTGAGTGGGAAAATTCTCTGGCTTCAAATACATGTTCCTGTCTGGTCTCCCTGTCTTTCCCACTCACATTGCTCCATCCTCATCTCCCCTCGCTTACTTGATTATGGAATGACTGTCGCTGCTGTGTTGGAAAATCAAATCAGCTCATAAAAGCTGTCAAAAGACAAAGTGTGGAAGGCGATTTGGTTTTATGGAACACTGGGCCACATTCCAGTGAAAGAGAGCTATACGAATGGGACAGTCTGCATCTCACAGGTTAGAGGCCAATATTCCCAGATGGAGTCTAGCTGGACCAGCCCAGAAGAATCAGCTAACCATGCAAGGGGAGAGTGCTAAGGAGCAAGCGTGGTGCCAACTCAGACTCAGCATGTTGTGAATAAACTGAGCCAAGGTGGCAAACAATGCAAAGGGTAATAAGCAAAAGGAACTGGAAGCTCCTATGGATTGGAGAAGATTTGCAGTAACTGATTTAGTGAAGCACAGTGGAACAATTTTCATGATTGGAATGTTAAAATCACTGATAAAGGAATACGTAAAGGAGTGGGGGGAAGATGACACTTCATATTAAATATACCATTACCTGTTTAAGAATTAGTGATAACTCAGAGCCATTGGATCTTGCATGGTTCAAGATGCTTAACAACATAGCTCAGATGTGGGTAATTGTGGGGATGGGTTACAGAATCAGAGGTTTATACCAGAGAAAAGACAGAGTTAGTTTGTCAGCACAGAATCAGAGGTTTATACCAGAGAAAAGACATAATTAGTTTGTCAGCCCCTGCCTATAATGTGTGGAAAAAACTCCAAAAATCTGTGCTGTGATGGGGGACATCAATTTGGGAGGTGTGCTGGCAGCCCTACGTGGCCAGAAGTAAAACAGCATTACAGATTCTAAACAATTATCTTTTATAGTTTAAATCACAAAAGATAGGGCACCTGACCAGAGGCAGTTGTTTTTCAGATTGCATTATGGTGGATAAAGATTAAATAATCGGGGGAAGGGAAGTTGGTGGATGCCTAGCAACCAGTGATTGTGACAGGAGCACATTCAATAGGGGCACACAGAGAACAATCTCAACCAGTAATATAGAAACAGTTGATACTTCAAAAAAGCTAATTTCTCAAAGTCTAGAAAAATTACAAGCAGAACTGAATTGGAGAAAACAGCCAAAAAATGTGAATGAAAATTGGGAGTTCTTAAAGAGATTTTGCAATCAAGAGAAGGAAGCTTTTGTGAAAAGCCCACCTTGTTTCTGTGGTCAAGGCAGCAATTAGAAAGTAGTGGAATAGAGCCAGAAATCAATATAAATTAGAAGCTATAGAAATGCCTGAGTGAGGCTAAAGACATCTGGGGAAAAATCCATGGCTGACAAAGCTAAGGACAAGAAAGAAAGAATACAAAATATCAGAAGAAAAGAAATTATAGTGACGGTATCATCCCATTACTAGTCAGAAATTCTAAAACTGTTCATAGTGATGCAGAAAAGGCAGACGTATTCAATAAATAGTTATCTTAGGTATTTGGAAATAAATGGGATTTTAACTTGTATCATGAAGAAATGAAGACATTTCCATTAGTGACTAAGGGGGATGTTGCAACATTTCCTAGAGATAAATATTTTAAAATCACCGGGTCTTGATAACTTAATCCAATACAGATTAAGAATCTCTGGATGAGAATCTCTGTTTTGCTAATATTTATTTTCACTGAATCTTGGAATACTGTGGAAATTACAGATTGGAAGAGTGATAATGTTGTGCCAATATTCAAAAAAGGGCAAGTGGAATGAGCCAAATAATCTCAGGCCAAAAAACCTGGCAATCCAGAACAGAATTATGGAAAGGCTGATGTGAGGTCCAATTAATAAAGAACGTAAAGAAACAAATATAATTAAGGCAACATGGTTTCATGGAAAATAAATATTGTTAAACAAATCTAATTACATTTCATTTATGAGATCACAAGTTTGGTCAATAAAAGTAACTGCACACATGTAATGCACAGCACAACATTCTGATTTTAAAAGTTATTGCAATATAATATAAATAAAACATAAGACTAATTAGTTACTTAAAAACTAGCTAAGTGACAAATCTCAAAAAGGAGTTGTCAATGAATAATCAGCATTGAACAGGGCTTTCTAGATAAAGGCAGCCCAGCCAGGGAGCACAGCAGGGCAGGCAGGGCACAGCACCTGCCAGGGCAACAGGGCAAAAAGAGGCAGTCAGCAGACACCTGCAAGTGGTCAGCTTACTGATGTAGGTAGGGCCCTAGGAGCATATAAACCCAATCCTGGAACTGGCAGGGGATTCTCTCTGCTATAGGGGAAGGAGCTCCTGCCATGGGGAGCCACCCAGGGCTGGCCATTCCCTGTCTACAGGAACAAGGAGACTCAGGGAACTTGCAAGGTACCCTGGCTAGGACATATGCTATATTGGGGATAAAGGTTTGCCCTCTTAAAGGGACAGAGGGCTGCTACTTCATTATAATTACATTATAGCCCAGGGACTTATGTTATGTTGGTGTTTGAGCTGGTGGTTTGGGATAAGGCTGTTAGGGGAGGTACAGACACCTCATTAGTACCCAGGGGGCACTTGACTGCCTTGAGCCCTGCCAAGGTCAGGTTCAAGACTCAAGCAGTTATTGAGCCCAGGGTAGACAGAGAGAGAGGATGCAGCCACACAGGGGCCTGGCAGACAGGGGCCAGGGCAGAAGGGACAAACGAAGCTAGAGCCTTGAAGCCAGATCCGATTCAGTGGGCCCAGACTAGAAGGCCTAGCAAGATTAAAGGAGCAGAGGCCAAAGCCCCACACAGGGAATAACATCCATGTAACACCTGCAAGGCATGAGGCATAAAGGGGAGGATATGGAGCCGTGCAATTAGCCCATGAGGCTTGAGGTGCCCTTCAGTGGCACGGTTACTGACTGAAGGCCCAGTGAGGGGCCTGGCTGCAGACAGAGACTGGCAGGGTCCAGTTGGACTGAGGCCATGCAAAGGCCTGTGGGCAGCCTCCCTATTCATTTATATTTCCAAGGCGTGGCAGGAACCCTAGGGGTGGAGCAGGGCATGGTCATGGAGCCATCAGGAGTTGCCATGGCCACCCCTGGAACCCTGATGTGTTACAAGAGGGCTCACAGAGGCTGGTACTAGATAGGACACTTCCATATTTTTATCAGCAATTTGGAAGTTAATATAAAGGCACACTTCATTAAACCAGAAGATGACAGGGAGGTTGGTGACATGGTAAGTAAAATGCAAAGAAGGCAGTCATACTGAGAAATCTGGATTGTTTAATAGTCTGGGTCTATTCTAAAGAACCGTACAGTTAAATTCCTAATTTCTGGTTGTATAAGTAGAACAGTATCCTGGAAAGTAGCAGCCCTGGAACAGATTTGGGGTGGGTCACAGTGGACAACCAACTGAATATGACATCCCTGTACAATGCTGTGGCAAAGAGGGCTGATGTAACTCTTGGATGTATAAACAAAGGAGTAGTCAGTAAGGCCCTGGGCAGGTGTTACACTTAAGATGTGATTAACCAGTTAACCACGTCTTGAATAGTAACCTGGCCACATATTCATGCAATTAATGGGGCAATAAAATGGAAGATAAATCACAAAGTTACTCCTCAAAATATATAGCTGGTGTCCACCACCTTTTAAATTAAGGGTGTGACAGTGTCCTCACCATGAAGCCTGAGCCTGATTGTGGGTCCCAGCCCTGGGACTACAAAGAAGCAAGCAGAGAAACATTCAGGTGCAGTCCTGGGGTTGGGACTGACAATCAGCTGATTGTTGGTGCTAGGCCTGGGACTATACTGGTTCACTGGGCACCTGGTTTTCTACTCTCTGATGCAGGGGAGTCCCTGCAAGATTATAATGCCTGGCTTCCCCTGTACTGGCAAACAGTAGTGGTGCAATTGGGATTTGATCCCTAATCCATGTATGGCATGGCACGAGGTGTGATTGTTGGGATCAAAGAACAGAACCCATCACGCCATTATGTGAATGTGTGCCAGGGGCCTCAGAGTAAGAAGGTGATTTTTTTCCTTTGTATCCATCATCACTGATAATGACAATCAAACCACATCTAATTATGATGTCCAATATTGGATAGGATGTTGAAAAAATGGAAGTGAGGTTGGAAAGGGTAACAAAAATAATTCATGTTCTAAATGACTCACTGTGAGAGACGTACAGAGTTCAGTCTGTTCAGGTTATATGAAAGGAGACTGAGAGATGATGTAATTGTGGTGTATAAGTACCTCCATGGGGAGAAAATACCAGGTGCTAAAGAGATGTTTAATTTGGTACAGAAAGGCATAACACAAACCTAAGATGAAAACTGAAGCTGCACACACGCGCGTGTGTGTGTTTGGCTTCAGCTTTCATGTATATGTATATGTATGGATAAAACTACCATAGGAAGTAGTGAATTCTCTATCTCCTGATGACTTCAAAACAAACAAACACAAAACACTGGCCAGGATGCAAGGATAACTGGTAAAAATTAATGGCCTGTGATATGCATGAGGTCAGATTAAATGATCTAATGCTCCCTTCTGGCCTTAAACTCTAGGAATTGATGAACAGTGTTTTACAGAGCCAGAAGTCTCGGGCACAATGGTGATCACCCAAGATTTTTCTCTGGAGGAAAGCAGGTAAAATGCTGATAAAAATATGATTCTCATTAAAATCAGTGACTATACTGGGATGGCTGAAGAAGACCAGCCATGTATCTAGCTTTAAAAAAACTACTAGAGGAAATCTGAGAAATAGCAAACAAATGAGCTGCTTCAGTAGTATCACAAACTATGTGACTCAAGAAGTAAAAAATAGAAGTATAAAGTGTGGATATAATATTGAGGACAAAGCAGCAATACTTCTTATAAAATAAGCACACCTGGCCAACGTGTAAAAATTCCATTAACATGTCAGGAAAGAGGTGGATAGAGGAGAACAAGTTGACTAGATGATCTTGAGATCCCTTCCAGCCCTACTTTCCTATAATCCTATGACATGATTTATCAAGACTTAAAAAAATGATGGTGGTTTTTTTTTACTCAGTAAAGATTAACAAAACCAAGTAGTTCCCACGTAAGAGGTTAACATCCTGTCTTGGATCAGAACTAGCTAAGAGACAGAAACCAAAAAGTTGGAATAATGAGTTGATTTTCAACGTGGCAAAAGTTTAGCCATGTGGCATCCCACAAATGTATTACTGTTTCTGTTGTTTTAATATAGTTATCAATGATTTGGGGAAAGCTAAATGGAACAGTGGCCACATGTGTAGTTAACATAAAAGTAGTTAGGTCACACAAAACTAAAGAAGAGTGTGGGGAACTTTTGAGGATCCTAACAAAGAGGGTTTAATGGAAAGCAGAATAGCACATAACTATCAGTCTTGACAAATGTGAAATAGTACACATTGGAAGATGAAATTTAACTTAATAACACAGATTGCTGGGTTAAGTGTAACCACTCAGGAAAGAAATGAGGACATCGCTATAGATCAGGGGTGGGCAATTATTTGGGCTGGTGGACCACTTAGCAAGTTTTGGTAAGCTGTAGTGAGCCAGATCAGCACTACCCCCTTCCCTGCATCAGGTCAGCACCCTCTCCTCCTGCCCCCACAACAGCTCACCAAAACTCCCTAAGTGACTCTGCTCCATGCTCTGCCAGACAGCTGGGATGGTGCTGCAGGTGGGTGAAAGCAGCATCAGGGAGCTGGAAGGGTGGGTGGGGCTGGGATCATGCAGGGCCAGGGCCCAGGGCAAAGCCATTATCTGCTTCCCACGCACCCCTGTGACTAGCACTAGTTCCACAGGCAGGGGCATGTGGGGAGTGGATTGTGGCTCTGACCTGGGCCCCAGCCCTGCACTGTCATGGCCCCACAATCCCAGGGTCTCCACGGAGACTGGCCAGGACCCTTGCAGGCAGGGCTCATGGCCAGGTGGATGGGATGGGCCATGGGTGGGCAGGGAGCTACATCCAGAAGCATGACAGATGGGCAGGACTGGGATCTTGGGGCAGTGGCAGCATGGGCCCAGGGCCCAGAGCACTGCCACAATCCACTCTTTACATGCCCTTGTGGCCTTGCCTGCAGAACCAGCATCTGTTGCAGGGACATGCAGCCATGAATCGTGGTTCTGCCTCAGGCCCCAACCCCATGCCGTCACAGCTCCAAGATTCCGGACCTGACCCTACCAGCCTGTCTTGCTCCTGGACACTGCTCCCTACCCACCTGCAGCCCCATCCCATCTGCCTAGCTGTGCATCCCACCCGCAAGGGCCATGCTAAATTCCTTGGTAGGTTGGATCCAGCCCATGAGCCATATTTTGGCTGTGCCTGGTATAAACCATTCAGTGAACTTCTATGCAACTGGAGTCAGGAACATGTGGGTGTGCCTAAGGGCATTTCCTTTGTAACAGGACTGCAACCTCTCTGGGCTGGGCAAAGACCAGCAGTGAGATATTTGTCTTTGCAGGACATTTGTCTTTGCTCATTAAGTGCATCAGTGCCTGATGTTAGGGTGCCAAGTGATTTTTTTCAGAAGGCACTGAAACAACTTAAAACAACTTTTAATGCTAAAGATCCTGTCAGCTGTTGACTAGACTCCCATGAAAGACTCTAGCAAGGAGGAAATGGCAAACTAGCTATGGCGAGATCTACAGTCCAAGATTTCCTTGAGATGGTCAGTTTGAGCATAGATCTGTGCGGGACAAAAACCAGATGAGTGAGATTAGTCAGTGATCTTCCTTCTGGGGATGGAAGAAGACAGCATGTCTGTGCTAAAGTTGTTATACCTATAGATGTGGTTAACAATAAAGTAGTGGTAAGGCTACCGCACTCAGCAAAAGTAGACAAACTACTCTGAAGTGGTTTCATTCCTTGTTTTACAAAGGGCTTGGAGTAGCTAGTAGTAATTTCTCTCGTATGTTGGGTTTACTCTGCTCATTGTGTATGTGAGGTCCCTTAGAGATTAGGAAAGAGATCCAGCATGAAAACATCCTCCCACATAGATCTCCAATTAACTCCAATTCCTGAGTATAGGGAAGAGATAACCCAAACCTTGTCTTCATGAGGTTTAGCTTCTTCTCCTGGTGCTAGGAACATTAGCAAGATGCCAGTTGCACCGTGAGTTTTTGTATATATACACCCCAGGGAATTACACAATTATGTGCCCACACAATTTTTCACATAAAACATATGACTGTGCATAACTGCATAACTTTGCATCATCTTACTTGGGTGGGCTCTGTGCCTCCATCTCTACGGGGCTCCTGGCACTCCAGCTGGGAGCCCCATGTGGAGGCATGAAGCGTGGTAGTGTGTAACTGGACAGCTGGTAAGTGGGGAGAGGAGCTCCTGCCTGCAGGAGGTGGGGGGTGGGCATGGGGTTTGGGGAGGGGGGGCCACACCTCTCCCATGGTGCATAGTCCCTGCCGCTGCCAGCAGCAGCAGCAGGGGGTGGGCCCTCATGGCACTTGTATGCCGCCATAGCTGAGGCTACATGTCTGGCTGAATCCCAGGGGCTAGATGTGGCAGCACAGAGCCAGCCTGCTGGCACGCACCTTTGACCCAGACCAGGCTGACTCTGTGCCAGTACATCAGGCTTGCAGCACTGCAGGTGGGAGCCAAGCACCATTGGGCCGGCCTGGCCAGCTCCGTGCCTCCACATAGGAAATGGAACCAGCCCGGCCTGACAGCACACAACTCTGTGCCTTCACATGTGGCTTCCTGCTGGAGTGCTGGAAGCCCCGTGTGGAAGCACAGAGCCCACCTACCTTAATGGCGCGGTGGTTCCTGCCTGCAGAGCCAAGAGCTCCATGTGTTAGCACAGAGCCAGCCCAGTCTGGTTTGAAAGTGCACACACCAGAGTGCTAGGCTGGGCCATCTCCATGCCGCCACATGCAGCCTCCAGGACTCGGCGATAATTTTGAAATTTTCTGCTCATAATTCCCTGGGGTGTTCATAGAGAGGAGCTCCCCAGATGGAACTGCACAAATATTAGCAACAGTAAGAAAGTTTTATGGTGGGGAAAAAGAAGGATCAGGATGAGATGAAGCCGTATAGCCTCTGAGGACAGACGAGACCAGCATTTCCAATGTTTCTAATGGGGGAACATCAAATAGAAAAAAAATTCTGTATTAAAACTCCTTCTGAAAGCTCTTCATGCATGCAACTTTATTAATTTTAGTTTTTTGAGCACTATAATTTTTCAGTCTTGTCAGGGGCTCCCAGCCTGCAGGCTGAGCACTCCTAAGATTTGTATTTATATATGTAGATTTATGAAAAACAGTTTGACTCGTCCTTCCAAAGACCCTGGGTGATGATGAAACACCAAAGTGAAATTAGGGCCCAATATTATCCTAGGGCTACCACCCAGTGCCACAATCTGTACCTCCCTTTGACATCCAGTTGAGACGCAGCTTCTTGCCTCTCTCACTTTAGGAGGATAGAAGCAGTGAGGAGCTCTACATGACAGCTACAGCACTAAACAGAGCTCCAGTCTCCTGGATGCAGTTGGGAGCCAGTGACACATAGCAGAAACCAGCCAGAACTGAGTCTTCCTGGTGGGGCCACCACCTTCAGCCCACCTGAGCACTGTTTGTTGTGGGAATCTTTCCCTGAGCTGCTGCTACTGTTGTTGCTGTTGTTGTTATCATCATCAAACATATCCATAGGAGTATGCACTCCCCTGTTCTGGTAGTACTACCAGCTGTCTCTCTCAGGATCTCCCATGACAAATCCACGCTGTACCACCCACCTGTCTTTCCACAGATGCCATGACATGATCTGCCTGCAGATTTCATGCTTTCTTCACATAGCAACAAATGCACCCAAATCTGTTAAGCCAAACTTCCTGGAAACTCCCCTTGAATCCCTGGGTGATATTCTCAAGCTTCAGCCACATGTTTCCAACAAGAGTTAGAGACCAGATTATAGCTACAACCCACTGAGTAACCTCACATATGCTGGCAAGTGACAGGAGGCCTAACAGCAGACAGTTATTTCCTGTTATCATTCCCCAAAGTCCTGCTTTTCTACTCATAGTTGGAGCAGGTCTATGAGTGGCAGTACAGGAGTGTATGACAGGTGCATGAGCTAGTGAAAACTATAACCTTTAAACTTCAAAACACACTTGGCATCTATTATCCTTGAGGGAGAGAAAAGGACACAGGATCAGTAAGCAAGGCTGGCCTTGCTTCCTCTGATGGGCATAAAGCCATTCAACCCCTTGTTTTAAAGGATGA